ATATAACATAATACATATATTATATAATTTTTTTATGCTGTGCATTTCTACTTAAATATTTTATCAGTGCTATGTTAAGCATAAAATGATCACATGTCGCTCACTTAATTAATATATTCTTGATTGAAATCAGCAAAAAATATCACGAGAGAAAGATAAATTATTCAAGGTAAATTACAATTGCAATAGTATACATACATATATACATGTATTTACAGTTGCATTACTCTTTTATAATACTTATAGTTACTCTTTTAAAATCTTTCCCTTCTTTTTACATACAAAAAAAAAAAAGATATTCGAGTAACATAGTTGAAAATTGATGAATTTATTAATATTACTTATTAATATTTTAACTTCGATTTAGTAGAACTTGTTATACAAAAGATAAGGAAAACAAACTCAAAAGTAATACGTTATCTTGCTTTTCATAAAAATTAAAATTCAAATATCTTATAAAGTACAATATTCTCCTAATACTTTTACTTTTAGGATAATACTTTTTTACGTGCTATTTTTACGTACTTTTAATACTTTTACGTAATACTGTTATAATACTTTTTTACGTAGAACGAGGGAGATTCGATGACGCAAGAAAAGAGATACGTGTTCATTCCAAAAATAATACATTTGCATCAACTAAATAGTTAGTACAGTGTACAAATATTGTTAAGGTGTTAATCTACAAAACATAGCATATTCCAATTTTAATTCGAACTTGAAAAAGTTGCCTTTCAATGATACACTGTCCAATTAATCAAAGTAAACCATCATTTCCCTAAATTTAACGCTACTGGCACGAAAATGGAGCACTTATTCTGCGGAAAGTAATAAAAATCGAAAAGGAAGCGGTTCATTTTTCAACGGGGTCCAACATCATTTCAGATGGCTCGAGTTGGCAGCCATCGGTGCTGGACAAAGAGTCAGGGACCTACTTCCGGTCTTCGACAACGCGGGTTTCAACAAATTACCACCCCCGGCCAGCCGGCTGATAAAGCCGCAAAAAAACTGACACGTTCCTCGACTTCTTTTATCACCTCTTCGAAATTCCAGGGGAACTTCTGTGTCTCACGACATCTAACCTCCGGTTTTATCGGACTCGGCATAGGAATGTCGAGCATCAGTTCCAGACGATTGAGAACGCGTTAAAGGAAACCGAAAATTCTTTGTTGCACGGCAATGGGATCACGTTTGTATAATAGCTTTGTTAATTTAACTTTTTCGCAGTGTAATGCAACGGCGAAGAATGCTACAGGAATGAAACGATTTTATTCTTTTATTGATAAAGCTACAGTGGCGGACAGAAAGAAGATTAAAAACACGAGATCCGTAAAATCCGCAATTTTATAAAATAAAGTTACATTTAATAAAGGGAATGAACAGATGTAATGTCGAATAGATATAAACTACAAAATACATGATTGCTACTAATGTCGATAAAAAAAGATGTATAAAGTAGAAGTATATATAAGATATTATATAAATATAAAAGTTAATAATTTTTTTAATATCATAGACAATATTAAATATTGTCATATCACGATATTAAATACATTGATTTAAATATATTTATGGGATCCATTTATGATTTTATTATATTTATACATATATTACTTGGTAGACAAATATCAAGTTTAAACTTCTTTTTATCCGTCACTATAGATGTACGAATTTGTAAGCTGTGAATGGAGCAGTAATTTCTAATATTAACACTAGGACTACTAATGTGAGGTTAAATTATTATTTTAATAGTTTTAATATTTTTAATATTTTTAATTATTTCTATTTCTAGACATTTAAAAAATTTTTCGTAAAATGTATAAATAAAAGCTTGTGTATTATATTATGTGTATTATAAAGTTTTCTTAGTTATTTCTTTTTATTTCTTCTTCTTCACTTTAATACGTCTGGTGAAAATTTTATACTTTAATCATTGGTAGTTCTAGTGTTAAAAGAAATTTTTAGAACACTAAATTATCATCGCGGTTTTATTTTTGAGTAGTATTCATGAAAGTATATTTTTATATACAATGTTAATGAAAGTATATTTCTAGAAACTTTTAGGAACATATGTATAAAACATTTTGATATTCCATTCACATTATCTATCATAGTCATTTACTATCGTAATTATGCTTGTTTAAACAAATTAAAAATATTAAAAATATCAAAGATATTAGATATTTAGAACGGGCAATAAATAAAGTAAAAAGTAATAATATTTAATAGATTTTGAAGTATTTAAGTATTAAATCTCAATATTTAGTGGAATTTGACACTTATATTTATGCTAACAATATAATATATTAAATGTAATACATGTGTATTTTTAGAAATTTCTAATTTTTATATACATTTTCAGACTATATTGAAATGTCACCAATACAATTGTGTCTCATTACAATGTTAATGAAATTTCAAAATGTTTTACATAATACACAGAAATAATGTGTAGTATAATATATGAAAGTTCTTTTATGGTAAGTGTTCGAATACTTTCCTATGTACTACTACATATATGTAGTATGTTATATCGTATCATATTTGACGATTTGTCTAACTTACACTAAGTTACACTGTGAAAGGATTAACAATCTACTCGTCAAGTTAACTTTGTTAGCCTATCAAGTAAAACGATCTCTATAAAAAATTTCTTTTCAAACAGTTTGAAGGAATGATTTTGGTATTTACCTTTTTCGTTGATAATGATGCACGTGAAAAATGTAGTTATCACGTTGGTTTGTGGGTCTTGAAGAGAACTGTGAATCCTGTGGAATAGTAAAAGTAAACGTTAAATAAAAGTTAAATGTTAAATAAGTTTTTATTGAAATTTTATTGATGTGAGTTTTGAGAATTTTTAAGTGAAATTTTGTTTAATGGAGGGTTAATAGAGAGAGTTGAAGTTGTATTAAATTGATCGCCCTTGGCAACATTCTTTGATTAAAAGTTTTAGGATAAAGAAGTATATAACGTAATTTAATATCAAAATCATATTTTACAGTTTTAAAGTTTTTATGTAATGCATTAATTTTTACATTTTATTGTATAATTACATTGCTTTCTCAATGAGTTATTGATATTTATAGAGATCATTTTATCTGATCCTAAAATGTTCCTATTTATTTCTCCCTCGTGTGTACAAGAAAAATATTTAATTGCAATAATGAATCGCTGTTCCTATTTAAGCTGTATATTTTATATTCATAAAAATGATTGCTCTTTCGTTAAATAGATTTTAATAATTTTCTAACAAGTCTCAAAGTTTCATGTGAAATAATTTACGTACATACATCGAAAGAAATAGCATTTGGATACAAAATATTTTAACATTAATTTAACACATGTTATTTAATATCCTAACAATGACAATTTATTTCTTTTCTTTTTCTTTTTGACATGTTAACAAAAATAATTTTATATTGTACGAGACATAAAAATATTCTCACATTATTAAAATTTTGAAGGCATAAGAAGGTATTATTTAATCACAGAAAACCTAAACTGTTTAATTAATTATTTATTGTTTCAGAATGCTACAGAAAATGAATCAAATATCTTAAAAAGAATTAATATCCACACAGAAATAGATAAAATTTTCATAATTGGAAATTATTAAATCAGAAATTAGAGTTTTTTAAAATATATAAATATGAACTTTCAGCTTTATATTTTAATTTTCTTTGAAATTGAAATATTGTAAAATGGCGAATTTATTCATTAGTTCAAATATCTCATTCTATTACTACAAGGATTGAAGCATGAAACGTAAAAAAATTGTATTATTGAATGAAAATATATTTTCTAAAATATAATGATTTTTTTCAGTATTAATTAATTATTTAATTATTTACAAATATGTAAATATTTTTGTTGTTAAGAACAGGCTGTAAGAATAGGATTCTTCATTTCAAACTATTACCGTTTCTATAATATGTGACGTCTCCCGACTTTCGAGTTGCTATGTCATTGCGGGTCATCGCGCGCTTTATGTCGTCCTAATTCTTCGGTCGACAAAGGATGAGTTAGGACGATTATATTGAAAAATTGGAAATTGCGCGCGATGACCCGCAATGACATAGAACTCGAACGTCGGGAGACGTCACAAATAATTGAAATTTTTCGAAATCCGGACGCTATATTTTTGGTAGTACATTCCCAGATCAATAGAAATTTCTTTTTTCCTTTTTCCAAGAAATATTTTCCAATCCTTTTCAGCAACTTTTCCTTCTCAGTCAACAATCAAAATGACAACGTTTTGAAACTTTTCATTTAAAAACAAAAATTGAAATTTAAAGCTGAAAGCCACATTTATATACCTCAAGAACATCAACAATTGAAAAACTATCAATAGCTACTTATGAGAAAAATTTGCAAAATTTTACCTACTTTCAATCAGCTTAGAATGGTCTTTCTCTTTAAAATAAATGGAAATAATTATACCATTTAATAAGTCCGTACACCCATTTCAAATCATTTGAATCAATTTGGTTTTTCGTCTAATCTGACAGAATTGAAATTGCTTCTTCTACAATTGACATATCGAATAGATTTCACTAATTTAAAATTTAAAATAACATTTGTAATTTCCATTTTAAAAAATGTAATTATTTATTTAGTTTCATTTGAGAAATTAAGGGAAACTAAATAAAAAAATAATGTTTCAGAATTCATTCGAAAATATTCTCGAAATTTGTTCAATCGATTTGATCCTTAAGTAAAATATAGCACTCTCTATTCTGTTCTTTTGAAATAAAAAATTCATTTTTCTCGTTTTATTTAGAGGTTGTGGTTTTAGACACACATTAAAAATAAATGTGTAATGAATATGTTCATGTTTCAATCCGTTTTGTCTTTAATACATTTCAAATATACATACAGACACACGAATACTATTGTATATACATGTAACGTATTCAAGTTTTATTTTATATAATTATTAATGTGAAGATATCTGAATGGTAAATACTATTCCAAAATAAACATATAATATTCTAATATAATAATATTCTTCTCTCTTGTTATTATTGATAATAATAACAACATAATTTCTGATAACAAGATTTAATCGAACAATCGCTCCGGTATAAAAAAAACTAAAAAGTTGATATTTTCTTTTTTTGGCAAGAGCTAATCCCTTTTTATCGTTAAAATATTTCTAATGTTGATATATTGTATACTAACATTATTAATATTAAATATATTGTCATATATTTGTTCCACAAATTATGTGCACAAGTATACTTGTTATGTATTAATAATTACACAAAATAAACCTTGAATATATTATTGTTATTTTAATTTTAATGCACTGAGTATCCTACGCAGATTAAAACATATTGAAACATATTAAAACGTACTAAGTTCGTACTCCAGTTCGAATATTTCGTTTGTTAATAAAATTCTTAGTAAAGGATTCACGTATATAGAAATCTATTTACGTATGTACGTACATGTCACTGAAATACGAAGTAGTCTCCAAAGAAAAAACGCAGCCAATTTAATCATCTGCCTCGGACGATCAATTCGGACATATATAGACGACGAGCTAGTCGTCCAAATACGTATCCAGTATAACTATGGCCCAAGGTTTCAAACAAGATTACATCTTCTCCTACATAGTGAATGTATACTGTATAAAAAGAGTCAGTACGGACGAAGAAGGAAAAGATTAATACTTCCTTAGGTAATTGACATTTTATTCATCATCGTTTTCTATTATATCGTGAATTTTTTTCTTAGTACTGAAAACAGTTATTATTTAATGCCTTACGAAAACGAAATTAAATCTCGAAAAATATTCGTCTGTACTTTTAGAAAAAAGTTCTCCTTTGTCAAACAACGTGGTATCCATCTGTCGAATATACTACAGAAATTAAGTGAGTGAAATCTCTTCTTTTTTACCGTAGATTCATTATGCTGGGATATTTGCGCATGCACATGTAATTTTTTTCACAGGTTTGAAACGTATATATATTTACATAGTTCTTTATTTTCAATGGACATCGAGCGAAC